TATATGTCAAATGGAATCATAGAATCATAGAATGGTTAGGGTTGGAAGGGACTTTAAAGATCATCTAGTTCCAACCCCCCTGCCACGGTAGTATGAGAAATTAATAAGCAAAACCTTTTCTTAAATTGATACGTGCCTTAAATTAAAATGAGCTAAAAAAAAAACTTTTTACAAATAAGTAAAATAACTTGAAAAATAGAATAAAATTTAAAGCTGCACAACCAGTTTCTCAAATCGGTCCATTTTGAGCAGTACAACTTGGGAAGGTTTAAGCAAGTTCCAGCTACTAAGTGCTGTTTGAAACTAATGGACAGAGAAGCCTGTTGCCATTTAAAACAGTGTCTGCAAATTACATACTTAGTTTTAAGGAAAATCTTCGTAATACTGTATTCTAACTTTCGTGCCTATGTTTATTTCAAATTCAGTGTAAACTGATGGTTTATGAGCATCTGAAGAGACACTACCTAAAAGGAATTCCTGTACAACGCTCCATGTTTTATGAATCTGAACTATTTTTTGTATTTGCTTTGGTAGATGTGATATATTTCTTTGTGGAGTTGATGCTTTTGCAAGATCTCTGCTTGCAAGTTTAAGTCTTTGTGACCACGTTAACGCTGATGACCTAAGTGGAGGTCTGTGGTGCTGCAGAACAGAAAGGGTAGAATAAACAGAAGGGGAAGATTGTGATTATTTGATTGAGAAACAAGACCAGAAAATCTACACACAAACCCTGCATCTTAAAACACACAGTAAGACCGGTGCAAAGCGTCTAATAATCTTCATAGGGTGCCTAAACGTACGAGCAGGACTGTGAGAAGGCAAGACTTATGCTGTGTTTTTCGGCCTCTCAAGTTGTTAAGAGAGAGATGGAGTTTGATTTATTGATGTAAGCATGATAAGGAAAGAACCGCAAAAATAATTTTTTGTAGACTGTCTTACTTTACACAAGGAAACTACTTGCATCTGCAACCTTTGTTTTGTAGATTATGAGCATTCTTTGATAGTTTTTTCTTTGTGCTCAAATGTAGCTGAATGATTTTGATAAAAGGCTACAAAAATTTAAAGTAGGCGAAGGGGAATGTAGCATTTTCAATCACTGTCTTGTATTAATATTTGTAACATTTCCAAACTTCTTTTAACCTCCATACAATTAAGTATTTACTACTTTTGTTTCCCATTTCTTACCTTAGCTCCAAAACATTGTGGCTTTACTATTTATTTGAGTATGCATACTTTGCATTAAATAATAATTTATATGAAGGTAGTTAGGTCTGGTTTAAATTAGACTTTAATGATAAGAGAACCATAAAGAAAGTCACTGAGTTTGGGCTGCTTTTTATATCTGGAAACCCTCCCAAATCCTTAACGACTTAAACGCAGTGAGATTTTTGTTAGACCATACCAAAGAAATAATACCAGGAGGGTCTACTGAAGAACTTTCCTCAGCTTGAAAGCATATTCCTATGGAGATGAATAGAAGGTGCAATTTTAAGTTTAATAAGCTAAAATATTCCATTAAGCTGTTTGAGAAGACTTACGCACCCATGTTGTTTTTCTTATACCACAGATATATCTACTGAAATGGTATACCACAGGACTATACCATATGTGTGTAATTTCACTGGTGAAATGAGGCTTTTACTTGAAACTTTAATGTATTATATTGCAAGTGCATGTCTTCCTAAGCTAAAAATAAAGAACACGCTGCTACAGGCCTGAAAACTGCCTAAAAATAGATGTCTATCCTAAAACGTTACATTATGAAGTCTTTTTTTTTTTTTTAGAACAAATTCCCAGTGTAAATTTAAATTGATATCGAGTTCTGTGATTGAATACACCTAAAAATTTTATTGAAAATCTGAAAACTTAGTGTATTGTGGGCTAAATCATTTGGTAACAAATCAATGCTGAAGTTGTTGATTCCAACCTGACATATTAAGTACTAATGAAACATTTAGTAGTAGTGAGAGAGTTATGTTGAAGGGTACAGGCTGACAGCCATAAGATTTGGAAAGAATTGTCTATACTATATGTCTGTTTTGTGTGTATCACACTGCCATATATTTCAGACAAATTAGGTTTTTCCTTCATCAGTCTGTAAAGCATAAGGCATAGGCAGTTTCTAAAGACAGAACATTAGCTTTCTTAGACTTCTGTTCTGATCTAGTGAGGCCAAATCCTGTATTCCTGTGTACTATTTTCCGTAATAATAGGGCAGCTTTGCTACAGTCACATATGGCACTGAAATTGTCTCTCCTATTTCTCCTTCTCTTTTAATGAAAGAAACTTTCTTTGCAGCACATATTATTCCACTATCTGATCAACTCCCAAATGCTAACTACATTCTGAGATAATTTTGAAAAACTTTATTATTTCCTGTCCATTTGTGCACTTTTTGGGTCATAAAAAAAGGTAATGTGGTGTGGGAAAAAGAAATTACTTTTTTTTGCAGATTTCATGCCTTATTAAACTTCTGTGAGAGATGGCCACTCTAAAATCCCAGGAGGGTTCCAAGTTTTAAAATGAGATTATGTAAATAGTCCAACATGATAACAACTCTTTAAATCAGTAGCATATCTCAGATGGCCATTGGTTTCAGATTTTTTACTTCAGTAGGTTTAGATCAAGTGGTTTCATGTGATAAATTGCTTTCTGTATTTGCTTTTATTCTTTGTATTCAAGTTAGAATATTGGATTTGGAAAGGGATTAGGGGACAATTGCATGTATTTTTCACAAAGTGTTTCTAAAAGCTGTTTTATGGAACTTTTAATGTAATTGTGAACATATTGACAAAATAATTGAGGTAATCAATACATAACAGTGTTCAAGATGGAACTAGAATCTATAAATGAAGATTTTAACTCATTAAAAGGATTTATTTGCTTTCGAATGCCAC